ATAGAAACTTAAGTACCCCATAAGAATGCGATTGTCATAAAATTGGCAAAAAAACGAGTTTAAAGTAATTGTACCTTGGAATTCGAATTTCATTTCTACTTTCGTATCAAATAGCAAAAGTAGAAATTGAACTCCTCGAAATATGACATTTTATATGGAATTTGAACAAATCAAACGGACCATTGTTTATGAATTTTTTTTTTTTTGAAGAATAAAATGAAAAGTAGAAAAAATTATGAAAAACGTGATTTTTTTTTTTTAAATATGTGATTAAAAATTAATATTGAAAAAAGTAGTTGCAAAAAAATACTCATGTATTAAGGCTAGAAATAAGTAATGCATTACTCAAGGTTGCCAGAAATAAATGACGAAAGGTAACTGATATACAAGAAGTCCAATGGGCTGAGGATCCAACAATGGTAGCTATTTCAGATAATGTGTAAGCAACCCTATTATCATTTCGAGAAATAAAAGTACAAGACTCACACGGGACATCCTGCATTAAAAACACAATATCTGACTATACCACTCTGTTGAAAGCATAACCAACCAAAATCAGTCCTTAAGCTTTGGATAACTTGAAGAAAGTTACCATGATCCGCAAATCGCACATGAGATCTTGAGATTTAGCCAAAGACAATCTGGTCATTTGAAAACCCGTAAGTGAACGTGAACAAGTAATAAAGTAGTGAATAGAGTGTCAGAACTCACTAGGACTACGTGTTTGATCGAGTTAAAATTAATTCCAACTTTAATTGAATAGCCAACAAATTTTGTGATTTTTTTTATATTAATCCCTAAATTATTAATTAAACTAATGAAAGTAAGTATATGTATTTTCAAATATGAGAGATGCATAACTAAGATGTCGAATCCATCTTATTATTCCATTTTTAGTATAACAATTAAAGTGACAATTTGAAATTTTTTTCAAATATGTAAGATGCATTGCTAAAATGTCGAATCTCCCTTGTTATTCCATTTTTAGTGTAACAACGAAAGTGACAATTTGAAATCATTTATGTTGGTTAATATTCATAATTTAATTGAAAGTCTCACTCGATAGCGATCAAATTTATTCCCCTCATGTAACATTTCTATTTCTCGATAAAAGGTACAAACATTATAAATGCATTAACAAGTACTAGAACACCTATTGAAATCATATAAAGTATAGATATATATCTCTATTCTTTATCGAATCTTACAATTTTATTGTAATGTGCTTCAACCCTATTGTCTCTCTCGATAACAATTCAATTGGTGATCAAACAATTGAAAAGAACGGTAAAAACGATAATAAACATTCACAAATCAAATTAAATTAAAGACAAGATAATTAATTAAAAACTAAAAATATATAAAATTAATCTAACGTATTGAAATTATAAGAAATTATATTTAAGTGAAAAGACATAATTCGAATTTTTGAGAAATTAGAAGATGAAAATAAATCTTGAATCTCTTCAATGATTTCTTGATGAATCACCACTTGCGCATTCTCTTATTTGCTCAAAAATTAGGTTTGAATCTTCACTTGATTGAATTTATCAAAAACTATGAATTCTCCTCATTTGATAATAATAATTGATGAATAATGGAGTATAATATGTACATGTGAGGTCTCCAATATATATTCCACTGTTATGTATTTGTAGGAGTCGAAAATTAGTTGAAAATCACGTCCAAATTGATTTTCAAAAGAGTTCTAATCGAATAAGGAAAGTTGTCTTAGCGCGCGAATTTTTTTGTCTCTGCACAGATTTCAGTATTTTTGGATCATAAGTTTTTCTTCTAATATCCGATTGAAGAGATTCAAAGTGCGTTGAAATATGACACAAAGGGCTACAACTTTTCTAGAAATAGAATTTTCTCAATTCGGACGTTTAGTATGTCAAAAATCGATTTCAATTTTCGACTAAAAATCTGGAATATAACTTGTGCGATTGAAAATTGATTTTGATCATATTCCATTTCTTTTTGAGTTATAATTCCATTCAATTGTCTCCTAATAATTTTCAAAGTATCATTTTATGGTCCGAATCAACTATTGAATTTGCAATTTGGTTCTCAAACTTTGAATTTTGCATTTTTTTTTTTACCAATTTTTGCTTTTTTCTTTCGATTTCTCACTCAACCATTGAGTTTTACATATATAAAATATGCAATTCAACAATGCCCCGTGACTTATCAATTGAATCAATTACCTAGACTGTGTCTGGTAGCCATTATTAGACCAGTTAAAATCAAAATTTCAACCGTTATTTACCAAATGAGCAGCCATTTTTGACTGCTTTGGGGGGGAGGGGGGACCTACCAATTGACTGTAACGGTAAGATTTTGGCTTAAAATCTGGGAATAATGGCTACCAGACAAGCCCCTAATATCATATTTGTATCACCGACTTAGCCGAGTCTATAAGTGATAACTATGCTATGTTATTTTACTTTCCTCTTTATTTTCATTTTCATTTGTTAAAAGACTAGAAATTTTCATTTTCCAAACCAAATTTGGTAGGTGTTTGGTGGAGATTAAAATTAGATTTTTAGTAGATTGTGATAGAAGTTTTTGAAATGTGTGGTTGAAAAGTTGTGAGACTCATAAAAAACGTGATTAATATTGATTGTTTGATTTTGACTTAAATTAAAGTTTGATTTTAATTCGAAACAAACAGTATGTATCCCTGAACTCTTGCACTATTACGAAAGAACCCCGACCCAGGCCATGTCTATAAATAACCCAAATAAGGCGCGGTCAAATTCATTTCTAGCACTGCACACTGGCTTTGAAGTCTTGCAAGATGACGTCATCACCGCCTTCGTCCGCTGCTCAACTCTTTCCTGAGCCCGACACTGAGTCCAAGCTACCCGCTCTCATCTACGGTATATACTTACATATTTTGACTGTATGTAGACTGTACAATGTGTGTAATTTTAAATTTAAATTTTACTATAGTACACATCTTTTGCTCGATTGTAATATTTTCGCAGATACGCAGAGGGCGATGCTATTTCGATACATATACAGCAAGGACCTACAGAATTCTGACCTTCGAATTTCGTTTGTGGCAAAAATAAAATAAAATTAATCCACTCCATCAAAATTCACGTTGTATTTAGTGTTGCTTGTTGAGTTTGATATTTAGGCAGGATCGACTAATTTCTCAACGTTTTGAAGTTTTGTTAATTTGTTGACAATAAAGTACAAAATATTTGAGGTCAACTATCTGTGTAATTATTTGAATTTTGCGTTGAATTGGAGTTAATATTTGTCCGCACGGAATTCAAGTTTAAAATAGAATTGGAGGAATTCAAACAAATGTCAGTGTGATTTGTTGGAGTTCTGGTGCTAACAAATAAAAATTATGTGAACAAACACAGATTTGAAGTGGTTGAGGGCCTTTATCTCTATTAGCAAATGTTTTGGAATCGATCATGATTGGCATAGTGTATTTCTGTACTCTGATTGTAAAAACGGCAATCGATTCTCCTTTTCTTCCATAAATATAGTTTCCAGAGGATAAGCATAATAGTTATGGATTTTTGCATACGTAGATCATTTTCCTCGACAATGGAGCTGTTACATCAGACTCACTGATTTCTAAAAGCAGTTGAAAAGATAGCATCACTAAGCGCCATGCTGACTTTGTTGATCTTGTCATCCACGAGTATGATAGCCTCTAGAGGACATTGGAATGCATTGTTACAGTACTGTTTTTATTTTCTATTATTAGGCTTCAAAATTTAGATCTAGGTCAAGTTGACTTCTTAAGCCACTGGTTAATCTTTTAGAATCATAATGGGTTCTACGAACAATAAAAAATTTACAAATTGTATGTTGGATAAGCTACCATGAAAGAGGTCACATGTTTCAGGTAAATTCGGTGAAAAATAATAATAATTTAAACGAGGTCATCATTGCCAAGAATATATTTCTTAGCATTATATTCTGGTGGTGTTATAGATGTCACTGACTTTCTAATGCTGAAAGAAAGAAATCTCAGCATGTTTCTGGATATCCTAATTATGTAGTTTCTTAAGGCTGTTAATGAAATGTACTTAGTAATTTGATCGACATTTGATTTTAATTATTCACGATTTCTTCTTCCTTATATTCTCTATGCATCTACTGAGAAGAATTGTCGGTCATGTGATGAACACAGATCTCTCCCAGCAGGTGCAAGTTGCAATGGAGAACATGCTTAAAATGACAAAGTGAGTCAAACATGTAGTTTTAACCTAAATTATATAGCTTTCATCTGTTGAACAATCTCAACTAAACAACGTCAGACTAGCAAAATCTATTGCCTTTTCTCTAATGAAAGCATAGCAGTTGGTTTTTTCACTACCTCTACTTCAATCCTCTTGATGCTCTCGCTCTTCAGAATATTTCTAGTTTTCATAGATTAAAATGTCCTATCATATAAGTTTTAGTTTATATTTTTACCTATTGTTTTATTTTCCAAGCTTTTGGTTTTCAACTTTTAGCACTTCTAAGTTTTTGCTTTTTTTCATCACATTGCATGGCTGTCAGTAAAATTCTAAATTCTCTTCTATTGTTGTCTTCTTTGCTGTTGGTAAAATTCTTGGGAGAGTTGTCGAATATTTCCTATAGAACAACAAATAATTTACAATTGTCATTTCATAATTTACCTTAACTTATACAAACTTCACAGGGAAATCGATCAGAACTCTGCTGAAATACTGGAGGATATAGAAAAATCCAAGGACTCTGCCCTCCAGAGAAAGAAAAACTTAGAAGAAGAAAAGGAGCATTTTCAGAAAGCTGCTTTTGCTGTTCTAAACATGCTTAACCGAGATCTCAACTGAAGCTCTAATGTTTGCCATTTCTCTTCAATCTTCACACGACTTGTAAATTTCAAGCTTGTGTATGTTGCATTTGTGTACAAGTATCTGGTTTGTCATCCTGATCTTTTCTTGCCCTCTACTAATTGAAAATTATTAATTTCATGTAGTAACATTTTCTCAAGGTGTCTGTTCTCAAAATATGTATAAGTGATCGTTATCTCTTAAAGCACTTAAATCTTCCACTAGGGAGCCATCAGCCATGAGAACTGTGGTTCCTATTTTGCCCAACTTCCTTTCTGCATTCACCAAAAATATCTTAGCCAAAGGTAAAAATCATTGAGGTCTTCTCTTCTTCTACATTTCTAGTCGTTCAGTATCAAGTTAAAAATGAGAGAGAGAGAGAAAGAGAGATTTGGATATGAAAGGAATAATGCAACTATGAAGATTTCTAGATTTTCCTGGAGTGTGTCGTTAAAAAGATTTAAGTTCTGGGATTTCCAGGGTCCCTTTGCCCACAAGTAGTCTATTTTCTTAAAATACTATGTTACAATGGTGCTCACCTGCTAATATCAGAAGATCTTCCATTGAATCAGGTAGATGTGCTAGTTTTCCCCCATTTTGTTCTTGTTCTTGTTTGTCATCTGGATGATGCCCGTGGAGTACAACCCTTGCAGGAAGGGTATTTGATGATGCATAAAATGTTGGGATTCCTGCAAAATAGATTGAAGAAGAATTTCTTTTGTAGTTGGATGATGCATCACCACAGATCATTTTTGCAAATTATCTTGCAACTGACATGATTCTGTAGTATTTACTTTTATTTTTCCCTTGCCCTAAATTGCATGCACGTGAAATTACAGATTCAGAGAGTGCGAGACACCTATTTTTGTCAATAAAAACATTTGGTTTGGCATTTAATTGAACTAGCTGATGAAGAAAAGTAGTCAACTGGAAGTATCTAGTTTGGCATTCCTCACACATGCCGACTAAGGTTTAAGGGAGTAAAAGGTAGATGGAAAATACAATTCTCCCTTCATTCAAAAGTTGAAGTCCTATTAGACTCTTTTTATCTATTTAATTTAATGACGAACCATTCACTTGATCGGTGATTTAACTTGTTCAAGTCATTGGCAGGACAACTGAAAGTTCCCATTTTCTACAGAATGTAGTGACACTACATTTATATTATATCTTCCAAGTAACTTGTGTTTTTCATTAGCTGCACACTTTTCAAAATGCACTATGTACTTTATGCATGCAAATAAAGTAACTGTTTCAACTGAGTTGAGAGCTTACCGTTTGATTCTTGGTTCGGTCCCCCATAATTTTGTGGTTCATGTATTGATTGTATGGCCTGAAATGAACAAACGGTTCATGTGTATCATTAGAAAAGTACTTCACTGCATTTCACATTTCACATTAAAAATTACTTTAACAGAAAGTTAGTTGTTTGGACTTCTTGTTAGATTGTGCAAAGAAAAGAAGGAAAGAAGACAAAAAAAACCTCAATGTTTGAGTCAGCCAGATATTCATCTACAAATGGTATCTCCTCTAGCTCCTCCTTTTTTAGGCCCCTCAAATGCTGAGAATTGGAAGTGTTAGTAAAGTCTATACTTCAGTGCTTGGTAATTTGAGGATGCTGTTCTAGAAGAGAGAAGACGATTCCAAGAAATGACCAACAATGCCATGACAGTATTATCCACTAGTGTGTAAGATGCATAATTCTTACTAGCAAATAATGATCTTTAATGCACCGATGAATTCCTACATTTTAGAATTCTGACCTGAAGAAAATTAGAGAGAACAATCTTCCCATCTTCACTAAGCGGCTGCACCAGTTGCTTGAAATGATTATGACTAATCCGAATGACCTGAGAAAGCCTCTTTGTTCTCACTGTGAAAGGTTGAGGGATATTGAAGATCACCCCAATTTCTCCAAGCATATCTGGGGACATTAATTTTGACAGGAACTGCAAAAGCTCCAAGTTAACTTTGTATATCAGGAAAGAAATTACTTGCAGTTTTAGCATTTACAGATGATAGGTTTTTAACTTTATCATATTTCCGATTAACTAAAAGCCGAGAAGAATATTACTGTACAACTTGGTGAAATGAATTTTTTGTTTAAATACTACTAAAAACACTTCCATTTCAAAGGTCAGAACAAATTATGTTCCCTTTTTACTAGTTACAAACTTCAACATGTGTGTTTCTTATACATTATCACATGATCGAAACATATATGTGGTATTCTACATCATTGACTGTTAATCTCTCTTTATTTGCTCAACAGATTTGGACATCTTGATTAATACCAGACAAGGCATGGTTTTCACGAAGAAAATTCATCAATTGTCGCATGCTATCCCAGTAAGATGATCAGGCCCAATTTATACACGTGCTTTAGTCATACTATTGCCTTTTAAATGAGTTTTATCTTTCACGGTCTTGAATTCTACAATTGCTCTTATTGATGTCTTCCCTTTTAGTAAGCCAAATAAACAAATGACCTACTGAAGCATATTGTTTTCCCAAATAAACAATTCAGAAACTTACCTGTTCAGTTCCATTATTGTGTGTTATTACGTCCTGCAGAATTAGATTTGTCAGCTATGCATACAGGAAAGTGATGATTGAAAATGTGATGAGAATATTCTATACCACTGCTCCAGATACTATAATGTAGAAATCTGTTGGTATTTCATTTTGTATGATAATATCCATTTTGGGGGGAAAATATTCTGCTCTCATCTCTGGAACCTGTGGAACAAATATGTTAAACATTTGTGATAGAGAAGTAAGAGTTCCACTTCAAAACATCAAAATCTCTATAATTATGCCACAATGTTCTCAATTTTTAACTCTTAGGTGTCAGTTTTAATAGAAAATATATATTAAGATAGGCCATAGATCAGTCCATAATATGTGATAATTAAATCTAATTTTGCGGAGAGGAAAAGAACATTACCAACTGGACAATAAAGTCTTCAGATACTCCTTTGAAAAGGTAGGAATTTTCTACTATAGTGCGGAAGAGATGCTGAGCAATGCCAGATCTAATTGCCTTTGGCAAGTCTTGCAGCACTTCTTCTTGCTGAAGTTCTGCTGTTTTGAACTTAAGTGTCACATGTGCTAGCATTTGCTCCTTTAAGCCTTCTGGAAGTCGATTCTTGCTTGCATATCGCAAGATCTCATGGATGGCATCCCTCTTCAAAACCACCATTAAATAGCATTATATTGCTGTAAGCGTTTCAGAAATATGTACCAACATAAATCTGAACAAGCTCTATTTTTAGGAGGATTGAAACAATAAAAAGTGATTTGGTAGGTCTTGGATTGTTGAACTACAGAAAAACGTTAAAAAAAAAGAAAGAGAAAGAGAGGAAGATTTAAGTTTATTGCATGCAGAATAAGAGTTCTGCTGAAAATATCATGGCCCGATGGTATATGAATTCTGTTAATTTAGCTAAACAAACTAGAAGTTTAAGAGAGTGTAGATATAAAATAGATATGATAATCGCTTGAGTGCATAATCACGTGGAACCAACAGCTCAAGATTCTTGTATATGGTGTGGTGTGTGTAGCTAATCTCTACGACTCTATACTGTGATAGTGTTGGCAAAAGATTACCATGGCAAATGTCCGGACAGAACTATGGACAATAAGATTGGTCATGTTCCCGATCAAATAGGCAGTAAGGCCGATGTTGAAAAGCATGTAGAATATGGAGAAAATCTTCTCCCCCGTGTTTTGTGCATGCAAATCTCCATATCCAGTTGTTGTAAGGGTAACAATTGACCAATACATGGAATAGGTGTATCCTAGCCAGACACTCCTTTCTTCAAAATGAGGAACTTGAGCCCCAATCCAAGTATTATCTGACCGACTATAATGAGTCGCGAGCCAGAAGTAGAAGCAGCCTGCCGTGTGTACAGCAAATAATGTCACCTGAGATAAACCAATGTAAAACCTAGTATGAGTAGTTTGTTTCTCTGAAAAGTATTGTCGTAAATTAGATAGTTGATATTGATTTGACGTAGAACAAAAAATGTCATGTTCACTATCGCGTTTTGAATGGTCACCCATAGTCGTGACCGTTATGCAAGTGAAGAGAGCGAAGTTGATGATGAGATACTTACACATATCAGTTTACAGTATCTTGTCCAAAAATAGCTAAATCGAGTGTCCTTCTCTAGCCTGATGGAAAAAGTATTAATTAGATTTTTATTTAGATAGTGAAACATATAATACTGTATAGGGCTTTTTGATTAAATGTTTTGTTGAAAATGCTAAGGGTCGTGGGCATATGTAATAGTACCTAGAAAAGAATTCACTGACACGCCTGAGTCGCCAAAGCCTGAGCATGTTGAGGAAGCCGAAGACATCCCCTTCGTGCCTTTTCCCAGTGAAAATTCTGTATATGGATTGGAATGGCAGGGTTGAGGCCACATCCATTGGGAACCACAGATTCGACACATACCTGAAATAAATTGTAGATGCAGTGAGATTTCTTCATTAGCTACATTTGATGCGTGAGACTTGACGGGTAGACAAATAAACCATTCACATGTTTATGTTTGTTGATTTTGTCAAATCCAAGGTACTCTATCGCTTGATCAAATGCCTCATTAGCACACTAATTAATCATATCTTCCCGCAGCCAATTTTGTTATTAAAACATAATTATGAGAATTTATGTATACCTCAAAGCTATTTTTATGTGATCATCGACAAGCAAATAAGTCGATTTGTCCAAATAAGCGACGAAAAAAGTGAGAATAATATCAATCGCAAAGAAGGCATCAACCACCAAATCAAAAGGCAGGAGTGGACCCGTTCCCATTTCTCTAAATGCTAGCTCGAATGAGGATGACCATGCTGAGTACACCACCAATAACACAAGAAATGCTTGCCACCACCTGCAATTTTCCAAATTGAATTATACAAACATTTCGAGCATGTTCAGTATATCTAATTCGGCACAATTAAAGAAAAAATAGATGCTAAATATTTGTTTATTGTCTTGTCAAGGTCAATTGAGCCGACTCCTGACGTCTACTTTTAGCCATGGAGAGAAAATGTTTCGACTTTGAATTTGTAGATGATTTAATTGATAGACTTTGAGGATTTGCATGTTAGAAAAATGGCCCTCTTTAGGAAGATACCAAGATTTTGTTAACCCAAAAATCAACGATACACTACAATTTTCTAGATCGAAAGTTGGGTTAATGCACATTGTTATAAGGATATGTTCATTAGTTAGGGGAGTTAAGTGGGGCAAACTACTTGTCAGTAAAATAGCTCGGCCCTCGTCTGAGGCGAGCAGTTGGTTCAAGTTGAGCAGCGAATTTCTTGTGCAAGTCGCTTGCCCGCTCACACGAGTTGGCTCGCAAGCCGAGTGGGCTAGCTCATGTGCAAGCAAAGTGAGTTAGTCAACTCTTGAGCTGGGATGTCATCGGTGAGTGAAAGTGCAAATTTTATAAGGTGGCGAATTGGGGAGATGAGTTGAGCCCACAGTTGGTGAAGCGAGCCAGCTCGCTTTCAGCTCAACTTATATGCGAGCCCGAGCCAGTGTGGTGGGCCAAGCCCATTTAACACCAAATGCCAATCAAGATGGGTCTGGCCCAGATCTAGTTTTTCATTGGGCCAGTCACTACCTAAAACTGGTTTGGTTAGTTAAGTACACAGATTAAAAGTATTACATCTCTTTTAGAAGTTATTTTACTTGGTCTATGGGTGCAATGCCTTTTTATTTTATTTTATTTTTTAAATTAAAAAAAGCTTGCACAGACCATTATGGTCTACAATAGATAGAAGTAAAATTGTCTACCATAAAAGGTCAAAAAACTTGGCTGTAGGTTCCAACCAAGCAAGTCCAAGCCCAGAGAACTTTGCGTTGGCTTAAGGCAAACAATTTTTATTTTCTATTGTAAACCATGACCTATCACAAGAAATTGTTGTTATAAAATATTGCGGTAAGCGGTGCATCACCATCCGATCATGTGGCAACATTAAACATAATTATTATTTTCACTAGTCTAATATATTAAACCTGTCAATACTCACTATAGGTAACAAAGAAGGGATAATTTTAGTTGCGATGTTAAATCTTTCAAACTTTTGTAGGTATTATCCAAAATTTTGATCTGTAGCAACGCTAATCCCAAACTTTTCAAATTTGTGTGGGCGATATGACCTCTGGACGGTTTCCATCTAAAATTCATTAGTTGACCAAATATCATTGTATTATAGTCAAATTCATTAGTTGACCAACTAATGGATTTTTGTACAAAAATCGTCCAGATTTTCTTTCACCGCACAAGTTTGAAAGATTTGGGACCAGCTATGTTATACATAAAAAGGTTTGTATAGAACCTACCAAATTTGGAACCTTGGCTGCCATTATTCCTAATAAAGAATGATAATTATATTACTTGCTTATTAAGCTGTACATAGCTATGAATTGTACCATGCAAAGGTGTGGAGATATATTTAAGAAACTAAAGGACTAAAGCTTTTTGATAAAAACAGAGAAGTAGCGGCGGCGGCGGCGGTGTGTGGGGACTCGGAGGGTGGAAAAGGAAGGAAAATAAAGAATAAAGATTCATCAGATTCTGTGTCATAATTAAAAATAAATATGGAAATTGAATAAAAACTAACCTGTATCTTCGATCATAGGGTGCAATCACAAATTTTTTCAATTTTACCGATCCTTCACCCATAACTGTGCCAAAAGCTGGCAAGAGACTGCTGGAAATTGAGGCTAAGTTGCGTATTTCGCCGCTCGAATGCCGCCGGTATAGAAGCGGCAACGGCGACCTTGACTCCGAGAATGGTGGCACCGGCGACCTTGTCTCCGATACAGACATTTTAATTTGCACCTCGAGAGAGAGAGAGAGAGATTTACAAGATGTATATTATGTATGTATAGTATATATAAATATGCAATGAAGTCGAAGGGACAAATTATAGGTTACAAAAGTTATAACAATCCTCTCCTTTGCAAGGGATACAATAAATAGGTTAATTTCATAGTAGAAGAAGAAGTACAACTCCGAGAGGGATTTGACTTGTCCTCCCGCTATAATCATATGAAATTTTCTAGTGTAGGTTTATGTAATATAATATTATGTAGACAATTAATTATATTATTTGAAGTTTAATTATGGAGTAAAGATAATGTAATATATGTGCAAGAGTTTGACTAACTACATGATAGATTCGATTAGTCATGTTTTCACGAGTACCTTACTGTCTCCAAAATATTAAAAAATGTATAATTATTCATCGTAAATAAAAATTAAAAAATAGAATTATTAAGTACCATTTATTAACCTTATCTC